TGCCTGGACCCGGTGCTGTGAACACCTTGTTCAGAGGCAGGGCTGATGGCAAAAGCCCACCCCCCGTCCCGTCCTCCCCCACAGGCCCTGAGGATCGTCCTCCACAGCCTGGACCTCCGTGCGAACTGCTACCAGCGCTTCGTGGTGCCCCTGCTCAGCATCAGCGCCGATTTCTATATCCGTGTTTTTGTTCGTGTCTTCACCGGCCAGGCCAAGGTCAAGGCTTCAGCCAGGTTAGCAGAGGTGGGGTAGGCACTGGAGCAGGCCACAGAGCCTTCCCCTGAGGAAATGAGGTCCTGTGGGGGGACCAAGTCACCCTGAGGGAAGAGCTGGGGTGTGGCAGCCAGCCCTGTTTCCCCACAGCAAGCAGGCGCTGGTGTACCAGTGTGTGGGCTGCGGAGCCTTCCACCTTCAGCGCCTTGGCAAAGCATCGGGGGCCCCTGGTGGCCGGTGAGCATCAGTGAGCCAGGAGGGAGGTGAGGGGCTGCAAGGGGTGTTGTTGCCCCCTAAACACCCCTCTCTGTGCAGGGTCAAGTTCTCTGCAGCCTGCGGTCCCCCTGTGGCCCCTGAGTGTGAGCACTGTGGGCAGCGGCACCAGGTGGGACGATGCCGGGTTTAGGCACGGGGCCTCAGGGGTCCTTGTGTCTCACTCCTTGTCCATCTGGCCCCTGTGTGTCTGCAGCTCGGTGGCCCCCTATGGGTGGAGCCCATCCATGACCTGGATTTTGTGGGCCGAGTCCTAGAGGCTGTGAGCACCAACCCCGGCCGATTCCATACCGCGGAGCGGATCCGAGGGGTCCTGAGTGTCGTCACCGAGGTAGGGGCTGGGCCAAAACGGGATGGGGCTGTCCCCTGTGCCCAGCTTCCTCCATCTGCCCCGTGCATATCCTGTTGTCCCCGTGGCAGGAGCTGCCGGACGTGCCGCTGTACTATACGCTGGACCAGCTGAGCAGCACCATCCACTGTAGCACACCCAGCCTCCTGCAGCTGCGGTGAGCGCTGGGTGCCCTGGGCAACTTGGGCTCCTTTTGGGCCAGAATCCCCCATAAAGTGGAGATCAAACTTCACTCGCGTCCAGGGAGCCTCATGCACAAGTACTCAGAGGCCAAGAGCCCGGGCCCAGGGGAGGGTCTGACTGTTACGGTCATTGGCATTGTACCAGCTGCATAGTCACCCCGAGACATGCAGCGGCCTCACAGCTACCCCATGACTCACACCCACACGTCAGCACTGGCTTTGGGATCTCGCTTGCCCCTCACAACCCCTCTTGGTCCCAGGTCAGCCCTCCTCCACGCTGGCTTCCGGGTCTCGCTCTCCCACGCCTGTAAGAATGCCGTGAAGACGGACGCCCCCACCTCAGCCCTCTGGGACATCATGCGCTGCTGGGTAAGAGCTGGCCTGACTAGAAAGGGATCAGAGGGCAGGGCATGGGCAGGCCTGGCATCCCCTGGCCCTGACCTTTGCCTCCCAGGAGAAGGAGTGCCCGGTGAAACGAGAGCGGCTGTCTGAGACCAGTCCGGCCTTCCGTATTCTCAGCGTGGAGCCCAGGTAGGGACCCCTCTGCCATGGGCATGGATGCTCATGTGCTTGTAGATGACACAGACACTTCTTTAACAGATCCATGTTCGTTCAAGTGAGATCCAGAATCTACCTACTCCCACCACTTCCGCTGCTTCTCCTCTGCCCCTCCCTAGTCTGGCCCAGCACTGCTCCCTGATCACGTAGACCAGGGTGGTCACCTCAGCTCTGGTTCCCCAGCTCCCACCCTCGGCCCTCACAGACGGTTCCCCCCACAGCAACCAGAGGGCGCCTGTGAGCACCTGAGTCAGATCATGTTCCCCCTCTGCTCAGGACCCTCCGTGGCTTCCACTCAGCAGAAACAAAGTTCCACTTGCAAGCCCTGCCCCATTTCCGTGTCCCTTTCCAGCCCTCATTGATCCTCCGCGGCCCCCTGGCTCACTCCACACTCACGCTCATGAGGCACAGCCCCGTCTCAGGGCCTTTGCACGGACTGTTTCCTCACCTCCTCCTGGTGTCCCTGACTCTGTCCTGTCCTGCATTGATCCCCTTCCCCAGTCTCCCCAGAACCTCTGCCCTGCTCTGTTCTTTTCAAAACTCGTATCTCATGCCCCAGCAAAACACAACTTGCTGATTTCTGAATATCCCGTTGCTTGTTTGTCTTGTACACTAGAGTGTCAGCTTTACCAGCAGCAGATTTCAGGCACACCGTAGGCAACAGTAAACGCTTATTAAACGAATGAGAGAGTCCTGACTCGGGTAGATGCCTTCCCAAGTCACCCAGGTGGGCAGGCCCTGGGGCAGTTAGGTGGTGCATGTCTGAGTGGCGGCTGCCCCTCAGCTGCACCGCCCCCTTCTCCAGGCTGCAGGCCAACTTCACCATCCGGGAGGATGCCAACCCCAGCTCCCGCCAGCGAGGACTCAAGCGCTTCCAGGCCAACCCCGAAGCCAATTGGGGCCCCCGGCCCCGTGCCCGGCCAGGGTGAGTGAGAGTGACGGCAGTGGGATTTGGCCAGGGCCTGGGTGCAGAGGCCTGATGGGGTCCCTGCTGCTCATCTCCCTGCCCAGGGGCAAGGCAGTGGGCGAAGCTATGGAGGACAGACGCAGATTGCTCCAGAACAAGAGAAAGGAACCAGCTGAGGACCTGGCCCAGCGGGCTGCCCGGCTTAAGACCTTTCCTTGCAAGAAGTTTAAGAAGGTGAGGCACCCACTACCTCCCAGTGCAGTGCACATGGGTCCCCCTGTGGCAGTAGGGCAAGGCTAAGGGGCAGGCAGGGATGGGAAAACGGGATGGGCAAGTGTATGCGAGGGAGCTTCCCATCCAGGAAAGAAACCCAACCGAGGCTGCTGGCTTCGTAACCATCATCATAACCATCATCTTCCCACCAGGGCACCTGTCAACGGGGGGACCAGTGCTGTTACTCCCACAGCCCTTTGACGGCCGAGGCCGCTGCTGAAGCTGCCCCCACTGACTGTGCACAGACCCCCAACCAGACGCCCCCTGGGTCTGGGGCCACCGCTGGTCCAGGTGTGGATTGAACCAATAAAGAGATTTCCCTTTGCCCTGTCACTTGTCTGAGTGCGGAAGCTGCTGGTGGTTTGTCTATCTGTCTGGCATGTGTGGGGCCTGTTCCTCTGTCCATCTGAGTTAACTCCCTGGGAGAGCTCTGCACCTAGACGTTGGTGTGTCCCTGCCTGACTGAGGGAGGTGGTGTCAGTGTTTCTGTCTGAGGCGTTCAGTGTGGGGAGCCGTCTGTTCGCCCGCAGTAATAAGCACTTGGACACCCGATTGCTGGCGCTTGCGGTTCCCAAGCGACCACGGGGTGGCAGCCGTGCGCTCATACCTACGGGCCTTTCCCCACACCCCCCTCCAGGGGCCATGGCGTGCTCCAGAACAGGCGCGTGCGCGCAAGCTGGTGCCACCGCGTTCCCACGTGGCCTCTCGCCGCCGGCCCTGGCTGCCTGGTTTCTCCGGCCCAGCTCCCCGCAGGGCCGCAGTGGCGGAAGCCAGACCGGAACCAGGCTCCTTGTGCATCCGCTCCAGACCAGGTGTTTCCTGCCCCGTGGCCCCTCGAGGGAGGGGGTGCACATAGAGGTACAGGGCAGGCTGCTGCATCCTCTCCACTAGGGCAGGCCTCGGCAACCTTAACAGGAGGCCTGGGACAGCCTCCACCCTGCCACACGGTAGCTGTGGGACCTGCAGGCACCCTTCACCTCGTCCATCTCAAAAGTTAAATGAACCTGCCGAAACCCGTTTGGCTCAGTGGATAGAGCGTCGGTCTGCGGACTGAAAGGTCCCAGGTTCGATTCCGGTCAAGGGCATGTACATTGGTTGCGGGCACATCCCCAGTAGGGGGTGTGCAGGAGGCAGCTGGTCGATGTTTATCTTCTCCCTTCCTCTCTGTAAAAAATAAAATATAATAAAATAAAAAAAGTTAAATGAACCTGATCCCAGAACTGGCCGGTGGGCACATTCGAGTTCACTGGGAGCTTAGAAGTGGACCCCTCTTCCCTGGGAAGGCGGGTGGTTGGTGGGATGGTTGGTGGTGGGGTCCTGGCGTCACCTGGTTCCTGGAAGGTGACAGCTGAGGGCCGGCCTGCGGGCTCATGCAGCCACCTAGACCGACACGGGGCAAAGCACAACTGACCCCAGAGAGGGTGTTGGGGATCAGGAACAGCCTTGACCCTTCCTGAGGCTCCACCCGGGACGTTCGCCCAACACCTCTTCATCACCATTCACCCTGAAGTGGCCGGGCTCTGGGATGAGGGCAGGGACCACCAAATGGGCTATGCTATCTATCCTAGGACCTGGAGGAAGAGGATGGTGGGGACTTGCTGGGACGGCTTCTGGAAGGTCCTAGCAATATAGGAAATCTCCCCCAGCTGTAGTCCTTCCTTCCTGTCACCTTGCTGGGCCTGGAAATGTGGAGTGGACAGCACAGGGGGACCGGGACAACACCCCAGGCTGGACACCCAAGATCAGAGTGTCAGAGCTGCCCTGTGCCATGCCTGCTCCAGGGCGGGGGTGGCAGAGGCTGGGAGGGGCTCTGTGAAAAGAGGAACCAGGCAGGGGGAGGAGAGAAGGGGCCGCAGTCACGAGTCCCGGCAGGGCCGGAAGGGGCTCTCCACCCCCAGCTGCAGGGACACAGCTGGGGTGTTCAATGCCACAGGCCAGAGCCGAGCAACACCGGAGACCGCTGCTTTCCTGCCTCAGTTTCCCCTCTGTGTGTAGCTGCACACCGGGCTGGTCCTCAGAGGGCCAGGGCCCTTCCAGCGACTGAGAGGACGGAAGGTGAAGCCCTGAGGAGGGGTCACCGCTAGTCCTGCCCACTGGCCTGGGGCGGGGCGAGAGGCCGATCCTGGAGCTCCCCGCCCGCCGGTTTCCTCCGGGGTCAGCCTGGCTCCTTATCAGTCTCCGCCAGGCGGCCAGGCCCTTATCTGCGCCGGCCCAGCATCCTCCAGCCACTGCGCCAGGGGTAAGAGGGAGGAAACCGGTCAGAGGGGGGGAGACGGGGGGCGGGGACAGGGCGGGGCGGCCCCTGAGCCGCTCACTTTTCCTCGAGGGACCCATGCTGCTGCCACCACCAAGGCCCCACGGCCCTTGAGAGCCCAGACAGAGTGGCTGGCTGCCTGGGGTGGAGCGGACAGGCTGGAGGGAGCAGGGCTGGGGAGCCCGGCCTGAAGCTGGAGCCATATTCCTGCCCTGACCGTCAGAGCCAGGGGACTCAGCAGGCAGCGGGACCAGCACTGGGGTAAGAGCGAGCAGCCTGAAGGCGGGGAATTCCCAACCCACCTGCATTCATTCATTCGTTCCCGCCTTCATTCATTCATCTGTAGGAACCAACTAAGGCCAGGCCAGCTTCCCCAGGGCCCAGTTGGGGAAGACAGGGAAGAGGGGCCGGGTGTCCCCAGTGTTGCTGGAACGCTGCAGGCCATGGGCCAAGAGTGAGCAGGGCTATTTAAACAGGGCGTAAAGAGGTGGATGCTGATGGGGGGGGGGGGCAAGTAGGGGGTCACCAGGGCCAGAGGAAGATTGAGGCATGACAGGAGGTACTGGGCAGTGCCAGCATTTGGTGTCATAGTGTCAGCAACGGGGGCTGCAGGATTAGTGAGGGGGACATTTTCAGTGTGGGTGTGGGGTCACGAGAGATTATAGAAGACTCGGGGTCCGGCAGGGAGGCGATGGGAAGAGCCTCGGGGTCCTAGATGAGGACCACCGGGTGGGCCCGGGCAGGAGGCGGGAGGTCAGGGAAAGGTCAGAGTCGATCATGTAGGGATTCCAAGGACACTGTGTCAGTGAAGGGTGCAGGGGTCAGATCTAAGGGTCTCAGGGTCCATCGTGGACACCCTGCCTTGCCCCGGAGGAAGGGAATTTGCTCATGCCCTCATGGGTCACAAACGGCTCAGAGACGACACTGCTGGGGTCATCGCTGCACAGCATCTCAGTGGGCATCTCTTGCGCTGGCATCAGACCCTCCTCCCATGCCCTGGTCGTTCCTGGGCCTCCTCCCTCCCACCATCCCCTCCATTTGAGGGCTCTGTTGGGCTAAGGGTGTGTGTGGACTCTGATTCCTCCTCCCACCGGCTTCCTTCCCTCCCACAGGTGAGCACCCCCTCGGGTCCATGTGCCCGCCCCAAGCCCAGGCTGAGGGGGCCCCCACCATGACGGAGAAGGCTGAGACGGTGTGTGCCCCCAGCCCAGTGCCTGCACCCCTGCCCAAGCCTGCCTCACCTGGGCCCCCAAAGGCAGAGGAGGTGGGCCACCAAGGCGACTCACCCCCCAGGCTGCCCCCTGGCGTCCCGGTGATCAGCTTGGGCCACACCAGGCCCCCAGGGGCGGCCATGGCCACCACAGAGCAGAGTGCCCTTCGGCCCCCACTGCTGCAATTCTCCGCCCTGGGCAGTGCCCCAACCCCCCTGGCCCTGCATTACCATCCTCACCCCTTCCTCAACAGGTTAGTGGGGGGCGGGGCCTGGGGGAATCGGGGCTAGGGTCCTTGCCCACAGGGCATTAGTGACCCATGAACCCTTACAGCCTCTACATTGGGCCGGCAGGACCTTTTAGCATCTTCCCGAGCAGCCGGCTGAAGCGGAGGCCGAGCCACTGTGAGCTGGAGCTGGCGGAGGGTGAGTGTTAGTGTGTCTGCATGGGTCCCCATCTGTCCCGGACCTTTCCGCGGGGAGAAGTGCTGCCCACGCACAGACGCACACAGAACAGCCCACCGGGTGCCGTACTCATGTAATACTCATGTGCAAAACCACAGTCACAGCCAGTCCCACACAACCCGTCACCCAAACAAACTGCGAGGTCCTGGCTCAGGGGCCACAAAATGACAGCTCCTCTCAGATGCACAGCCACCCAGGAAGCAGCCACGTGACAACCATCATGCAAGAGACAGCTAGGGGACCACAACCACCACACACACACACACACACACACACAGGACACAGACAACCACAGACACTTAGGACTGCGGCCACCCAAGAATCAGCCACACCACCACAGCCATGCATGACACAGCCACACGGCAACCATCACACACAGCCACAGCCGTTTAGACAGACCACAAGTCACACAACCACTGCGAACACAGACAGGACCACAATCACAATAAGAGTCCTTCTCAGACCCACGAGCACCCCCGGGGCCACACACACACAGGGACACACTCAGAATGAAGACTACAGGGACAGCTCCCCCCACTGGCAGCCACAAGGAAAAACATCCGCTGGGGACTCAGCCACTGACATGAAGGTGCAGCCAGAGGCTTAGAGGGCACAGCTGCGTGCAGCCCCGTCTGTCCTTGTCTAGAGGGTGGGGGTGGAGGCGGGGGTGGGGGTGGGGGGTGGGCAGGGTTGCTAACCAGCAGGGGTGCCACACGTGGTGGATCCCACACGCACATCCCTTGCGTGGAGAAAGCCCCAGCTCACCTCCTGTGTGGAAGTCCCCACTAGCGTGCTGGGCGCCCGAAATGAGGGCAGGAGGGGGCGCCCCCTCGGTGCCAACCCCTCCCCTCCTGCCCGCAGGGCAACAGCCCCAGAAGGTGGCCCGCCGTGTGTTCACCAACAGTCGCGAGCGCTGGCGGCAGCAGAACGTGAACGGCGCCTTCGCGGAGCTCAGGAAGCTGCTGCCCACGCACCCGCCCGACCGGAAGCTGAGCAAGAACGAGGTGCTCCGCCTGGCCATGAAGTACATCGGCTTCCTGGTGCGGCTGCTGCGGGACCAGGCGGCCGCGCTGGCCGCGGGCTCGGCCCCGCCCGGGCCCCGGACACGGCCGGCGCAGCACCGAGGCCCGGAGGACGGCGCCCGCCGCGGGCCTTGCCACCCGGCCGAGGCGGTGGGGCATTTGCAGCCCGCAGCCCCGGCCTGCCCCGGCGGCGGCAGCCCCATCGGGGCGGCCCGCCCCATCAAGACGGAACAAGCGGCTGTGAGCCCGGAGGTGCGGTGACCTCCATGGCCTCTGCGCCCGCGAAGGGCCTGGGGACTCAGCCCCGGGCCGTCGAGGAAGGGGCGGACCACGCACTGCGCGTATTTTGGAGCGAAGGCCCTCCCCCCCCAGAGGGGAAGGAGGACATACCCTCCAGGGGGAAGGGCAGGGGGTCTGGAAGGGCGGGCGACCATCGCCCCCAGGAGCCCTGCAGACCCTCTTGTCCACCCACCGCCCGCTGGACGTTGCCTTGGTCCGGAACATCAACATGGCAGAGCGGCCGTCGGACCTAAGTGGTGCCTGTTCTTTTTTCTTTTTTTTTCTTTTTCTTTCCTGGTTGGGGGCTCAACGGAGAGGCGGGGAGGGGCGGGGAGGCTGCCTCTTCTCGCCGGCGCCCCCTGCTGGAGACTCAGGGATACAACACCTCGACGGCGCCGGCCGCGCGCCGGGTGCGGGGACCGAGGCGCAGAGTCCACCCCACTCACCCGCCCAGGACCCGCCCGCCTGCACGACCGCGTCAGCGAAGGCTCAGGCGTTCTTGCTTTTGTTTTTCTTTATTTCTTTATTTCACATACACATTAGCCATTCAATGGAGAAGCCGGAGAGAGTCAGGCAAAGATGGTATAACAGAAGCGCAGTGACGGGGGGCGGGGCGGGCGGGGCGGGGCGGAGAGGGGACAGACGGGCTGGCTGCCTACTTGCATTCCGCTAGGACACTGAAAACCCAGAAAACAAAACAGACAGTAAACTACCCTTGTTTCTTATGTATCTCAGTGCAGAGACGGGGGGGAGGGGAGGGCGGAGAGGGGGAGACCAGGCTGCAGGAGGAGGCGGAGGCGGAGAGGGGGACGGGGACGCTAAGGGGAAGCACACCAAATCCATTAGTACTATATATAGAGATACTCGTATATGCTGCGTTTCTTAGCCTAAGAAGAAACTTGTTTGACGGGACGGGCGGCCTCTGCGGTCCGCGATGCTGGTGCTGGTCGGGCGCACGGATCTCCCGAGGGGAGGGGCCGCCGAAGCGGGGCTGGCCCGGGCTGGCTTGCGGGGGGGGGGGGGGGGGGGGGAAGGACAGGGGGGCGCCCCAAAGGTGGGTGGTGGTGGGGGAGCAGAGGCGGGGCTAGGGTGCCCCTCGGGCTCTCGATTGGGCTGGGGGGCGAAAGTTCTCGTGATTCTTTTATTGCTCCTTTTATTTTTCTCCTCTCGTGTGTGTGTGTGTGTGTGTGTGTGTGTGTGTGTCGGGGGGGGTGTGTCCGTTCAGCACGGTGGTCGGGGTGGGGCAGTGGTGCGTCGTCGGAGCCACCCGGCCCCTCTGGGACCCAGAGCGCGGCGTCCGCTCCGCCAGCACGGGGGTGAGAACAAGGCACTAGGTCGGCCGGCCGGCGCGGGTGTGTAAGGCAGTTGACGGGGTGTCAGGGCTGGTGGAGGGGTGGGGTGGGGGGGGACTGTGTGCGGGCCGTGTGCGTGCGCAGGCCTGGGCGAACCGACCTGCCCGCTTGGCGGGTCCTGTCCTGGAGCGTCGAGCCTCTCCCGTGCTCCCCGGAGGGAGGGTGACGGGGTGGGGGTCCGGGTGCGGGGCGGGGGGAGTGATGTCGAGTTGGGGGCGCCGGGGAGGGAACGACCAACTTGCTGGGCGCGCTCCTGGGTATGCTGGTGAGGGTCAAGTTGGCGTCTGGCTCAAAGAAGGGCGCTCAGGGCGGAGAGGGAGCGAGGGAGGGAGGGGACCTTTGTTCGTTGGCATTGACCTCTGCGGGGTAAGGGCTGGGGCCCCCCGCCGCGCCCCAGCACCGGGAGGGGGAGGAGCCGAGGGGGGGGCGCTGGGCCCCCCGAGGAGGAGGAGGAGGCGCCCGGGGAGACCCGCGGCCAGAGCAGCCCGCCGCGGGGCGCGCGCCGCCGTCCCGTTCCGTTAAACTCAACAAAGAAGGGATATGCGTGTTCCTAACGAGTGCAGGGTACTTAACTGATCATAAACTTATGTATAATAGTTTGTGGGTCTTTAAAAACGTACTTTATACTGTAAGAAGCACCAGGGTTTTATGTTGAATTATCTTAAAAATATTTTTTTTCCTCTCGTCCTTTTCCTTTGAGATCTTGTGATTTTTTTTAAAATCAGGTGTTTTTATTTTGTAAATTCTGAAATGTGAACGTTTCCTTCAGCCCTCCCACCGAAACTGAGAACGAACGACGAAAACCAAAAAACCCCAGATCATCCTTGTCAACGCAGGAAAACGACTTAAAAAAAGAAAACGAAAAAAAAAATTAATAAAACCTGAAACGAACAAAAATAAAAAAGAAAGAAGAAAAAAAAAGGAAAAACACTCAGCGTTCGTTATCCCCGCAAAGGGCGGGGCAGGCCCGTTTCTTTTAGCGTCCCCAGAGCCGCGGGGACCTTACAACAAAAATAGAACTTTTCTTAACAATCTCTTAACATACAAAGATAGGAAAACTCTCTGATGCATTGCACTTGGTTCAATGAAAAAAAAAAAAGTTCATTTCCCCCATATATATTTTTGTGGGTTTTTTTTTTTTTTTCTTCTCGTTTTTTCTCTTCTAACACGTCCCCACCTCTCCTGGGGCCCTCGACGCCTCTCGCCTGAGCCTCACAGCGACACTTGGGGGGACGGAGCGAACCCCGCCCCGGCCTGGGCCCCGGCAGCCCCGCGGGCGCCGCCGTCCCGGCCCAGCTGGCCCGCAGCTTCCGACCTCGCCGGGCGGGCGCCCCGCACACCCCGCGCCCCCGCGCCCGCCCGCGGCCCGATTGTCTCCTCCGAGGGCGCGTGCGGCAGGGCAGGGGTCCCTCCCGCTCCCCTCTCAGCTCTGACCCTGTTTAGCCAACCAAACTGAAAAATCATTGCACTTTGACCGCGCGTCACGCCCGGCCCACCCGGCCCCCCACCCACGCCCTGCTCCCCGTGACCCCCGCCCCCAGGCTCCCGTGGGGTCCCCGGGCCCCCCAGCTTCTCAGTCCCCGTCCTCCCCTGGGCTGCAAGCGCATAGGGGTGGGAGGGGAGGGAGGGCCTTTGCTCAACTTCCAACAAAAGCTACCCCGAGGGCTAGCGAGCTACCTTGTGGCTTCCAGCTGGGGAGGAGGCGCCGCCCGCCGGCCCCCCGCAGCCCCAGGTGAGGCCCTCTTCCCCCCTCCCAGCCGGCCCCCGCGTCTCCTCCCTTCCCTCGCCTGCTCTGCCCCAGCCTCACACACTAGATTCACAATAAATAAAACCCAGAACCCACCCCTGCGTGCAATGTTGGGCTGATTGACTTTCAGAGGATCCTGACCTGTGCTTTGTGTTTTCATACAATTTAAGAAAGAGAAGAGAGAGAGAGAGGCACAAGGACTTAGAAGGGGCCCAAGGAGGGGAGATGTGGGGAGGAGGGAGTAAGGCACAGAAAGACAAGCCAGAGGGGCCGAGTCACACCCCTGGACGGGGCTGGGCGTGCCCCTGCTCCCCTGCCTCCCAGGGCCGCTTCGGAGGACCCTCTGCCCAGTCCCCGACCTTCCCTTGGGGGAGGAGGGGACTTGGGGGGGGGGGCTACTTCCTGTGGTGTGTGACCAAATTGTTCCCAAGTTGCTTCAGTGGAGGAGGAGTTCCCGATCGCAACAGCAGAAGACCCAAACGATGAATGCCCCACCCCGAAATAAAGAGGAAAGACATTACAGCTGAAATCCAGAGAGAAGGGGCCACAAGGGAGGGGTGTGGGGAAAGGGGCGGGGGAGAGAATGCTCCAAAACGCTTTTAAAAGAGGACGATGACACCCAACACCCTCCAGAGGGCAGGAAGGGGCCGGCGGGACGCCTACCTAGCGCAGGTGGCGGCTCAGGCGAGGGCAGCCGCGGCCGCCCTTCCTCCTCGCTCCGCTCCTGGTCCCTTTCTGCTCCGCTCTCCGCCCGGCCACGGCAGGGCTGTCTGCGTGAGGGGCAGGGGCAGGGACCGCTGGGGCGGCACAAGGGCACCTGCATGCGGGCTGAGGTGTGGGGGCGACTCGGGGCCCATCTCCCCTCACTGGGGCGGCGGCAGAGGGCCACCTCCCGGGCCTGCCTGTGGAGAGAGGGGGCAGGGGGCCTGTCCCACCCGGGGACTGGACCTTGGAGAGCATTCTGACTCCTTACTGTACAGAGGGGTGTGGGGTGCTGGGACACCCTCCATTCTGGGGGCATGAAAGGAGCTCCAGGAGGCGCCCCCTGTTTGGGGGTGGGGACATCTAGCCTAAGGGTGGGACTGGGGGACTCCGGGGCCACCCTGCCTCACCCCGTCCGGAGCAGGCCGCGAGGGAGGACTGGGTGGGATCTGGAGGGGACGTGCCCTCTGGATCCGCACCCCTCATCCTGACAAGCTAGTCCTCTGAGCTCCCTAGGGGCGCTCTGACCCCCAGCTGAGGGTGGGGTTCCCCCAGGAAGGACAAGGGTGGGGGACAGGCCCCTTCGGACGGTGCTGGTTGGTTGGTCTGGGGATGAAGATCCTTCCCCAGAAGGCCAGGATGGGCTGGGGGAGGAAGGAAGTTCTGCTGCATCCTTTCTTTCTGTCCTCTGCCAGGCAGAGTCCGCTTTGCATGTTGCTTTCTGCTTGGCTGCTGGCGCACAGCTCCGCCGAGGCCTCCTCCGAGGGCTCTCAGAGCCCTGGGGTGCTGCGGGGGGCCTCGGGGTCCCTGGGCTGGAGGAGAGAGGGGCTGAGTGGCTGACGACGTTTACTTTTTGCTTTTCGGTGGGGCTGGGCTGGGCTGGGGGATTTTTTTTTTTCCGCGTCTCAAAATTTCTTCTCCCCCTGTTTGAGGAACCTCTTCTTTTCATTTTGTCATTTCTTTTGTCGATCTTATCAGAGGAACCAGGACTGAAGTGGGACAAAAAAAGAGGCGACATTGAGAACAGCTGGGGCAGGGCCCTGCTCCCTCCCACCTGGCCCTGTGGCTGCAGGTGGCGGCCGAGGCCCCCGGAGGGGCCGGCTCCCGCGGAGCCAAGGACACTTACACCGCACTGAGCTACATCCCATTCTGTCGGTGCGTCCCTCCTGTGGGAATCCTGTCCCCCCCCAGACCCTGCCCCCTAGCGCTAGAGTCCAGCTGGCCTTCCCGTGGGCATCGTGCCCAGCGGGTAGGACCCCCGTGGCTGGCGCTGGCACAAGCGCAGACCTGGGATCTGGCCATGTTTCCAATTGTTTAAGTTTTTGTGTGGGTCCTGGAGGGTGGGGAGGATGCCAGGCTGGAGCTTTTGTTCCCAGAGGGATTCGAGGGGGGGGTGGGGTTGGTGGCCTAGCTTCTTGCTGAGTTTTCTTTCTGTCTCTTTAGACTTAAAAGCAAAAATTCCCATCTGCACACCCGAGCCAAGGTCCCACAGACTGAAAGGCTGGTAAGGGGGGGGGGGTACCACATGGCTGCAGCCCCTAATGATGGTAGCCCGCCCCCAAAGAGAGGGGCCTGGTAGGACCCCCCCCCCCCCAATTCTCTAGCCTTAAGGCAGCAATTTTCAGCCGGTGTGCCACTAGAATTTTTAGTCAGGGGCACTGGCCTTTGTCTCCCCCTCCCCTTTCTTTTTTTTTATTATAAAATATTTTTATGTATTTATTTTTTTATAAAATATTTTAATCTACAAAATATACATTTGTAATAGCTTTCAACTATAACTAATAACAGTGCTTTTTTTTTTCTTTAGTCTGTCCATTTAAAAAATAATGACAGCCACCACAGCAATAGTAGTCAATGGGAATGAACCAAAATTATGCCTATATTTTTTGGTCAGATTGGTGTGCCGCAGAATGTGAGCAATGCTTGTGTGAGCCATGAGATGACAAAGGCTGGAAATTGCTGCCTGCTCTAGCCAGTGTGGCTCAGTTAGTGGAGCGTTGTCCTGTACCCCAAAAGTCAGAGAGGGTTTGACTCCTGGTCAGGACACAAGCGCGGATTGCATGGTGTGTATGGGAGGCAACCAATTGATGTTTCTCCCTCCCCCCCTCTTTTCCTGCTCTCCCTAAAATCAGTAAGAATATACCCTTGGGTGAGAATTAAAACGAACAAAAAAACAAAACAAAAAGAAAATTGCTGCCTAGGGCAACAGCACTAAGGACTCAGGCTCCCTCGGGCAGATGTCCCTTCTCTTAGGATGCCAGCAGGGGGCGCTGCCTTCCCACAAATGGGCCTTGGTGGCCACTTTGCACAAAACATCCCCAGGGTGGACACCCCTTCCCCCTTCCCCAGCATGGGTGCCTGGCATTTTCCTTCACCAAAGGCTCTGGCCCACCTCATGGCCACGGGGTAGGGCCGGGGGCATTCTGTGGTCCACAGTAACTGGGGGTGCCTGGTGGTACCCTTGGTGCAAAATGGAGGTCCCTGACCATGCATCTCAGGGCCTCTCCCAGGCTCTGGGTCACAGACTGAGATCTCCAGGCGCCCAGGAGACCTAACCACAGAGCACACATCGGGCCTCAGTTGTCCTGACCTTGCTCCAACCCCACACAGAAGCCAGGGGAGAGAGGGCGGCTGACGGCCCAAGGGGGCAGCTCAGAGTTGATGCTCCTGATGGCTACATGTGGGTGGCGTGCTCACCCTGCCTGGGGCAAGGCTGCCAGCGTCACGGCCAGGGCCTGGGCGAGCTACTCGGCCAACTTTTCAAAAGGAGCCAGAAATCCAGACAGAATTTCACGTGAAAATGCCAATATTTAAAGCACTTGCAGGCTGTCGTCCACTGTGAGGCGGAGACATCGGGCTTTAAAGTTAGAAAAGGCCTCCAAGGTCACCCAGAACTCCCTTCGACAGTGGGAATGTTCTCTACGTGTCTATCCATTTCAGTGGCCACCGGCGACGTCTAAGCCCTTGAAAGGTGGCTAGTGTGACGGAAGGATGAAATGTTTCTCTGGTTATTTACGTTTAAGCGGCCACGCGTGCCCACGGCTGTCTCGTTGGGGAGGGCAGCTGGAGGGCAGCTGGAACAGCGGGGGCTGGGGTTGTCACAGGGACTGGGATGCTACTGGTGTGGACTGGGCGGGCAGAGTGGCTACACGTCCTGCCACGTGCTGGACACCACGCACAGGGGAGGCCTGCCCGGAGTCCAGCCCTTCTACTGACTGAAGGCCGAAGGAGGCTCCGGGTGGGTGTTGGGACGGGGGGGGGGGAGGCTGGCAAGTTGTGGGGGACCCGAAGCACCCCCAGCATGGGCAGCCGGGGCACGGGGGCGGGGTCAGCCGCCAGCTCCTGGACTTCCTGTCCTGGCCTTTGGAGAAACTGCCTGGGTACCCCCTCCCCCCCACCTTGGTGGGCTCTGGGACCCTCTTTCCAAAGAGAGGCTGCCCTGGAGCCCTACACCACTGCCCCAGCTGTGAGCCTACCCCTCCCCGTCCCTGAGGAGGACAGGAGGTTTTGGGGACAACCAGGTCCCTTCCAGACCAAGCCAGACCCCAAGTTCGACCCGCTGGGGTCTCCCGAGCTGCACAGCAGGGGGGGGGCAGCCACCAGTGCTCAGACGTGGGGACTCGCTCAGAGGAGGAGGACCCCAGTTCCAGGCTTGGAGTCACGGCCAAAGGCGGCCCCGGGAATGGGGATCTGCTGCCAAGTGCAGAGTGGCTTTTCTGCTCACCCCTCCCTGCTTCCTGAGCCAGGTCCAAAATTGATTAAAACTAAGTAAAAAAGCGCTGCCCAGGGAATGACAAAATTGCTAAAATTCTCTTTTCTTCCCTCGCTCTATTGTTCTCTCTCCATCTGGTGCTCCAGAGATCGGCTAAAGTCACCGGTTACTGTGGAAACCGACCCCCGCAGTACCCCCGGTGCCCACCCGCTGCAGCCCGCTCGCCCCCAGGCCCAAGGGCTCCTGGCTAGGCTTGTCCAGCTCTGGTCCCCCTGCTGCAGCCTCCTCAGCCACCGCCGTGCCCACCTGCCTGCCCCCTGCCAAGGCCCAGGCCCCTTTTGGGAACAACGGGGAGGAAAACTTGCCTCATACTCTGACTTGGCCCCACCGTCCAAGCAGAGTGAGCAGAGAAAGTGCAGAAGGGAAAGCACACGGAGGCGGAAATGGGGTGAGCAGGGGAGGGCTGGAGGCTGTGGTCCGGGAGAGCAGGAAAGCACGAAAGCAAGCAGGGAACAGCCAGAGCTGCAGGCAGCCGGCTGGCGGCAGGAGGGAGGGGAGGAGGGAGGGCGGGCGCGCTGGAGTCCTGCCGCCTGGTGCCAGCCCCGAGCTGGGAGGGCGGCCGCAGAGGTCCCTTCCTCTGGCACCCCCTCCCGCCCTCTGCCACAGGGCTCTCCCGGGCTCCCTGGCACAGAGCTGGAGGGGGCTGGCTCCAGCCCCTGCTCGGAGCCATTGTTTTTCTTCTCAACACCCCCAAGTTCAAGTTCATCTGGGTGTTACATCATGTCTGGTTGCTCTTGGAAACCAGACGGGTCAGACGTGACTCTGGGGAAAGGGGGTGGGAAGCTGGAGGGGGCTGAAGTTCCCCTCCCCGCCCCGCCTCGCCACTAGGGAGCTCTGAAGTTTGCAGTTTGACAAAGTTTTTGGCTGTTGCGTCTTTGTGTGTGTGTGTTGTTGTTGTTTTCTCTTCCGAGGGAGGGAAAGGAAAAGGGAAAAAACAAAACCTCAAAACCGCACATACAAAACCTCTATCCCACCAACTTTCTCTGGACGCAGGCCTCGGGGCGGAGGGCGCAGGAGCCGAGGAGGCGGCCAGGGCTGTGGGCGAGGTGGCCGTCCCCAGGGCCGGAGCCTCCTGGGCCCCGAGCTCACAGGGTGGCATTTCCTGAGGAGGGCGCTCTCTGTGCCCCAGGGGCCCCTGGAGACTATCCCCAGCCTCTTGGGGACAGGCATGGGAAAGGCGCGACACGTGTGTGTGTGTGTGTGTGTGTGTGTGTGTGTGTGCTCGCGCCTGTGCAAAGCAGTGTTGGGGTGCCCAGCAGGAGGGTTGGGGTGGTTGGATGTTTCCTTGTGAGAACTGGAGACAGATGGGAGCAGGGTTGGGGGGGAGCTGGGGGGCTCCAGAAGCTTGGTCACCCTTCTAACAGGGCTCAAGGGGAGTTGGGGGAGGGGCCTCCCGGGCACAGCGGGCCTTGCCCTGCCCTTGGTGCCAGCGTCTCTGGGCATGTGGCCCACCAGGCCAGCTCGGTCCCTCCTCAGCCCACCCAGAGCCAGGGGAGCGGGGAGGGCAGGGGAGCAGGGCTTCCCGCAGAGCAGGAGGAGAGCCACCGGGCAGTGCTGCCCCACCCTGATGGGGCCTGGGCTTCCGGCTCTGCTTCTCTCGGCCGGCCCAGCGCGCCTCGGGTCCTTGGCCACCTTCCTCGGGGCCCGAGGTTGTCAGAACTAATTATCCAATTAGCCCGTTAGCCAGGGGGCCTGGGAGCGGCCGGGGAGGCGGGTTCAGCCGGGCGTGCAGAAGCCTGGATCCTCCAGCCCTGCCCCAGAGGAACCCCAAGACCCTGGCCTCGTCCCTGACACCACGATGCCCCACCCGCCTGCGCCCCCCAGCCCCGCCCCCGATGCCCGTCCCCCACTCCTACCTGAGACTGCTGTGGGATGTTCAGAAAGTTGCCGTCCCGGGGTCCGATGCTGACAAACCGGTTGGCAGAGGAGGCGCCTGTCGTTGCGAATGCTGCGGGGAGCAGGGGAGAGAGGGGAAAACCCCGTGAGGCCTGGGGGCCCCCTGGGCACTGCCCTGGTGGGGCTGCTGAGAGAGGGAGACGCTGGGTGAGACCGTGCTGCCCAGCGATGGCTGGCAGCGGGAAGGACCGGCCAGAGGGGCCCCTTCATCCTCTTACCAGGAACACACAGTCCCCCACCCTGGCCTCTGCCTGGGCCCGGCATCCTCCTTCCTGGCCAGGGGTGTGGAGGGGCCCTGGGGGCTCCGGCTGAGGTCCCACAGACCCAGTCCTCTCCCCCAGCCAGGCTCCGAGCAAGGCCGGGGCAACCCTCCTCTCCAGGCACCCGAAGGGGTGACCTCGCTCTCCCACTGGCCCTCTCAGGCCTGGAGAGAAGGGAGGTGGGGGGGGGGGTCCCGGCGGACTGGCCCCGCCCTACTTGGGGAAGGCTGTTCTCAGTTGGGTGTGACTCCACTTCCTACCCTGGACGGTCCCCAGGACTGGGCCGATGGTCCAGGGAGCTCGGAGGGGCCCAGGGGAGGGCTGGGCCAGACGGGCGGGCATGGAGAGGGAGGGAGGAGCTGGCTGCCGGCTAGGGCCGGGCATGACGGACCCAGGCCTGGCAGGCCTTCTCTTCCTCTGGTGGACCCGCCAGGTGCTGTGGTCCCGGTTCCCCAGGGTCTGAAACAGGCCCAGGCACAAGAGGAAGAGGAGGCTGGAGGCCCGGGCGGAGCCCGAGGGCCCGATGAGCCCAAAACTCTTCCCAGGAGCAGCTCTGTAAGCTCCTAGGGGGAGAGGAGGGGCCCTGCCCCCCCAGGAAGGAGGTTACCCCCACAGGGGATCATGAGGGTCACAGGCTGCCTGGGGACCCCCCCACCCCCTGCCCTGCACCACACCCACCCCAGGGACCCCATGCTCACCAGCTTCTGTCCAGAAGTGCCACCCTGTAGCCTGGTCCCCTCTCCCACCCGGCCCACCTCCAATGACCATGACCATGACCATGACTCGATGTTTTATGGCGGATGCAGATGGGAAGATGGCGTGAAGAGGATGGAGAAGGGGGGAAGAACTCAAACCATGGGAGAGAAGGTGAGACAGAGAGCGCAAGACGGAGAAAAGTGGTGAGATGGGCCACCCCTCCCGCCCGGACGTCCTGCAGCCTGCCAGCCCCCAGGGCGCCCGAAGCGCTGCCCGCGCCCGCCCGCCTGCCCGCCCGGAGACGGCACGCCGCCCACCCCGCCTCTCTGTCCCTCACGTCGGGTCTACCTCGGGCCTCCCAGCTCAGAGTTTTCTCTTCCCTTGGACAAAAGTTGTCATTGGTTTAAAAAAAAAAGAGAGAGAGAGAGAAAGAGAAAGAGATGAAGTAAACCAAGGTCCAGAGCCCTCCCTTGTCCTGGAATATCCAACCTGGGGAGGGGAGAAGGAGGGGGGAGGGGGAAATAAAGAGGAGGAGCAACGAGAAACCAAACGTGAGACTGAAGGGAGGGTGGGGCGGGCCAGCTGCACCTTTTCGAGGCCTGGATGGAGGGGAGGGGGCGAGGCAAAAAGGGATGGTGGTGGCGTCGCCTTGTGGTCACATTACGTTTTCTTGGCGTGTGTGTGGGGGGGCACGACAAAACAAAACAACAACAACAACAAAAATCAAAAAACAAAACACGAAAAACGAAAAACGAAAAATACAGCAATCAGGCATGAAGATGGCATGGCTGCGCCTCCCGGTCCCTTCCCGCCCTGGCCAGCACCCCCGCCTGCGCCCCACGGTGCACCCCCTCCCGCCCCCAGGAGCCTGGGCCAGGGGCCAGGGCCGGGAGCAGCGGGCGGGGGGCTCGTGGGGTGCCGGCGGGTGCGCCTGAGGCCTGGGTGGCCGTGGGGGGGGGGGGTCGGCTTTGGGAGGCTCCGAGGCCTGCTGGGCGGGGGGACTCGGTGGCGGGCAGGGCGTGGGGGGCTTGTCTGTTTGCAGTGGAGGCTGTTTGGACGGGCTGGGGCGCTGTGGTTTCCGTTTCATCGTCCACTTACAAGGTGATGGAGGAGTCAAGGCGGCGCCGTCTGGGGCAGTGCTGGTGGATTTGGAATCAGGCATAGGAAGGGGCACAGGTCTGGCCACTGGAGGCGGCGGCGGTAGCAAAAATGACCCCGGGACTTTGCCCTGGCCGCTACCGTTGGGCTGCGAACAACATAAATAGAGTGACGCATGAAGGCACATCACACACAGACACACGCTCCCCTGCGCGGCCGCGCCAGCTTGGAACGGGGTCCTTCCTCTCCTCCGGGGCCGGGGGCGGGTGAGGGCGGGAGGCCTCGGTGCGGTCTCTCAGGCGTCTCTCTCTCTCTCTCTCTCTCTCTGGTTTGTTTATTTTTATTTGTCATTTATTTTCCGTGGTCCTCTTCTGAGGTGGCGGGAGGAGGAAGGGGGGTGTCCGGCGGGTGGTTTGTTATTTCTCAGGGGATGTGTTTCCGGTACCAGAACATGCCGCCTAGCCACAGAGCAGCTGCACCTACGCTCCCACACTCCTGAAGACCTTCTCCTAGGACAGGAAAGATGCATCTGCTTTCCCCCCACTCGTGTCTCCCCAAAACACACGCGAGTCCCTCACTCTGGGGGAGCAAACAGTGCTGAGGAGCCATCCTCCATCCCACGTCATGGCCTGGGGGGTGCTGGGCCCTGGGGGGCTTGCCCTTGGCTCCAGCGCCAGAGGACGGCGGGAGCTGGTCCCTGTGCTACGGAGGAGCCTGGGAGGAAAACCCATTGCTGCCATTCGCTCCTGCGGGGTTCCTCTCGCGGACTCGCTCATACAACGCTCTCAGAAACCCGCTGCCAGGCCGCCAGATCCGTTCCTCGTCCTCCGTTCCCTCTTGGACCTCAAACTCCTGTGCGGCCTTGCGTGCCTCAGCCTTGGAGCGCCCAAGGACCTAGGCGCCACTGGGGAGGCAAAGGTCCCTGCTTCTGCCAAAACCCGTTTGGCTCAGTGGATAGAGCGTCGGCCTGCAGACTGAAAGGTCCCAGGTTTGATTCCGGTCAAGGGCATGTACCTTGATTGCGGGCACATCCCCAGTAGGGATTGTGCAAGAGGCGGCTGATCGATGATTCGCTTTCATCGATGTTTCTAACTCTCTATCCCTCTCTCTTCCTCTCTGTAAAAAATCAATAAAATATAAAAAAAAAAAAAAAAAAAAAAAGTCCCTGCTTCTTATAGGCACAGCTTCCCCTCTCAATTGGGACAAAGCTCTGCCCTCCCAGCCAGCCAGGTGTGAGGATGTGGGAACTTTCTGTGCTCCTCTTTCAGCGGGTGGGCGGCCCCTGCGGGCCCACCCCATGGATGTCTCCAGACAGTCTTTCTGTCATCACTGGTTCTGCCCGGACCAGGACAATGAGCCTTGCAAAGGGTCTCCCCTCAGCCGACGATGCTCATCAGCCCAGCGCCCTGGGCGCCTCGCTCTGTACCAGGAGTTTTACTCAGATCGTGTTCAGTCCGCCAGGGGACCTGTGAGGCGGCAGTTCTCAAACGGGGGCAGTTCTGCTCCCCGGCGCCCCTGGCCGTGTCTGTAGACACTGCGGTGAGCACAGCTTCCGGGGGATGCTACCAGCCGCTGGGGGTGGAGGCAGGGAGTGCTGCTCAGCACCCTGTGATGCCTGGGATGCTCCCCAGGACGAGGGCTCATCGGTCCAAACTCCAAATGTGGTCAGTGCTGCAGGCAGGGGGAACCCTGCTGCAAGGAAGCTCGCCTCCCCCTTTCACAGCTTTGGGGAGGGGAGGGGGACAAGGCTCTGTGCAGCTGAGTGGCTGAGGCCGTCACTGGGCTGTGACTGGTGAGGCCTGAGGTTCCCAGCGTGTCTGTCTGACCCTGTGGGTTTTCTCCTGCAGGCTTAACGAGCCTCTTCCCCAGAGCCATGGTGCTCAGACTTTCCCTGTCTCCTGAAACTGTCCGTGGCTCTGACTGCCTCTGACATACAACAGGATCTCCCCAGTTGGGATTCCAGGACCCCGGGTGGAGACGCTCCCAGCACTGGCGCCCTGACAGACCCTCCGCTCACATACACCCCACTGCAGACCGCCTGGGGCTTCTAGGCGCAGCCGAACAACTGGGCTGCACACCTGCTCACGGCAGGACCCTCTGTTGAGAGCGCCTTTTCCTACACCCGTCAAGGCCTGCTCATAACACACTGTCTCCCACGTGGGGAGCAGCCAGGTTCCCTGAGCCACCATCCGCCTCTCTGCTCTGTTGCTCCAGGCTGCTCTTGACCTCCCCTGGGACCTTGCACTCAAGACTGCCTGCCACCCAGGCTCCTCGGCGAGCCACCGAGGCCACCTCTGTGTGGCTCAGGCCTGCAGCACTCCAGTCCCACCGACTGAGCTGAATCAACAGTCCCCCCTGCTGCACATGGAAACCCACAGGCCCACGCTGACTCGGGCAGGCCACACCCCCTGAACTCTGGCCGATCTGCCCACCATCCTTCACCTCCACGTGGTCCCCTGGACTCGATTCTTCTTACCCACTCAGAGGACCCTGACAAGAGCAAGCCGTGGCTGCTGGTCCTGGGCTGGAGACCCTCTGTGTCACGTGTCCTTTCAGAAACGGTCCCTTCAGTTCCAGACACGGGCCAGGGGGCTCTCCGGCTCTGCAGGGCTGATGCTGAGACAGGAGCAGCATCTGTCTTCCCTCCTGCCCCCGGCCTACCTGGTTCCTGCCTCGCTTTTCCACCCGGGCAGGACACGCCTCACGTCACCGCCTCCCTGCTGCTCCCTAGGCCACCCTGAGCCCGGGCCTGGGGAAATGGACGCTTTTGAGGCAGCACTTGCTCCCAGGGTGGCCTCTGCCTCCTTCTAGTCCCCAGAGCCGGTTTATACCCAGGAGGGTCTAAAACACGAATCCCACCCAGGAAAGCTAATCCCAGCGTGATATGGCTGAACACCAAAGCCTGCCGATGCACAACATCCGGTTTCTAGAAGCAGCTTCCAACCAGGCTAGGAGGTCTCTGCTCGGGTTGGGTTATAAGCTGCAGTTTTTAAAATCTCAAGATCTTGTGACCTGCAGCAGCACCCTACGACCTCATGAAGAGCTATCAGCGCAACCCGGCTGGCGTGGCTCAGCGGCTGAGCGTGAACCTAAACCCCAGGAGGTCACGATTCCATTCTCAGACAGGGTTGCAGGCTCCACCCCCAGTGTGGGGCGTGCAGGGGGCAGCCAATCAATGATTCTCTCTCATCATTGGCACTCCTCTCTCTCTCTCCCTCTCCCTTCCTCTCTGATCTAAAAGAGCTAGAAGTGCATGCTAGTGACAGAGGAAGACGACGGCTTGCCTGGCTGCTCCAGCATTGCTGGTGGAAGCTGAGCTGGACCCAGGCCTCCCGCCCCTCACTGAGCCCTGGGCCCTCTCCACTGCATTGTCTCTTCTCTCTGCCAGAAAAAACAGCTAGCGAGGCTCTTTCTTTCCGATCTGTGCATCTCCTCTGAGCGGTGTCTCCGTTTGGGCCTTGGCCTTGACGGATGTGGTTCTTCTCAGTTGGGGCCTTACCCCGGGGACCGAAGCTAAGCCACGGGGGGCACCTGGCACCCGTTCTGCAGATCGTCTCTACGCTTTTTGCACGCACACATTTTCCTGTAAAGATGACCTGCAACTTCGAACTCTCACGGAAACGAGGAATGTACTCCTCTGGGCTCCGGGTCAGTGGTTCTCAGAGTGGTCCTCTGACCAGAAGCAGCAGCAGCAGCTGAGAACTTGGGGGAGAAACGCAGATTCTCAGGCCCACCCAGCCCGGCCGAATCGGAATCAGGTGAGAGCCAGCCACCTGTGTGTCTGCCAGGCCTCCGGGGGGACGCCCTGCATGCTGACTTCTCCTCTGGAGGTGGCCACGGAGCAGGCGAGCTGCCTGTGTGGCCACCCCCTGCCGCTATGTCAGCTGCAGAGCCTGGGCCTCCGGCTCTCTCCTCCCCCACAGCATGGGGCTGTCTCTGGCCTGCTCTCCAAGGCCGGCCCGGCCACCTGCGGCAGGCTCACTGGAGCAGGAGACACCCCCTCGTCCCCTGGACACCACAGGCCACAAGAACCCAGCGGGGCCAACCCCCGGCCGAGCTAGCCGCCCTGTCTAACCAGGGAAGCGGTTTGCCCGTCTGTCGCGTTTTTTCCGTGGTCTATTCAGAGAAAGCATCTGCCTTGAGAGGAGAACCTTCTAGGCAAAATGAGACCTTCATCTTGAGCAGTCAAGTCAAGGGAGAGGGTCAGGTCCCCACCGCCAGGATGCCCAGGGGAGGGACGAGCTCTCTGGGCTAACTGGTCGCCCAGGCTGGTCTCACTGATTCCCAGCCCAGCTGTCCCTGCAGGTGAGAAGGCAGGCAAGGCGGGTGGAGGGAACACGCCACACCCCACCCGTCCCAAAGGGCCTGGTACATGGGGCTGGCAGTCCCCAAGACTCTGCCGGCATCTCTGGAGAAAGTGTGGTCGCTGTTGGGGGGGTCACATTCACGTTTCCCTGAACGCCCCTAAAGTGGACAGAGCTTGTCCAGAGAGGCGGGCAAGGCTCTGAGTGGGCTAAGGAGCTGCAGAGCCAGGAAGAGAAACCCTGCAGGGGCCCAGGGGGGGGGAAAGGAGCTGGAAAGCAGAAGGAGAGCAGGAGGGAGGGAAGACGGAGTGAGGAGCCCCCCCATCCATCGTACACCCGCACTTTGCCAATGTCCCTGCTGTGTGGGCACCTGATGGGGCTGCCCCTGCTCTCCCTGGGCATGGTCTGGCGTGGGCCTGGCAGAGGGCCCATCGTGGGCCTCCCCTCCTGACCTCTCCCAGGGGGCCTCAGGCCGGGCCGGCTGGGGGACAGGAGCTGGGCCTTCTTGCCATGCAGCACGCCGCTGGGGCTCCAGAACCTTCCCAGAGGTGGAGAGACCGCCGTGTCCCGACCCAGCGTGGTCTCCCAGGGACCAGGTGAGGACCCCTGTCCCACTGGAGGGCTGTCTTGGAATCATTCCTCTCCCGGGGGACCCCGAATGTCTGCTTGTCAGTGGCCTGGGTCCCGGAGCTCCCTGACAGAGAACAGCAGTGCCCCCGGCCCCCCAGAGCGCCACGGAGAGCCAGGGTCTCCCTGGAACCCCCCCCCCCCCCGTTAACAGTCCTGCCAACGGGGGTCTCTGGGGCAGCCCCCGTGGCCACAGAGGCGGCTCCGCACCCCACCATGCCCAGGACAGCCTCCTGGCCAACCCCGAATGCCGAGAGTGCCACGGGGGGGGGGGGGATCCTGACCTAGAAAACCCCTGCAGCCCCGAGGTGTGAGGAGGGCGGGACCCGGTCTGGGTCGAACAGCTCGCGGGCGCACTCCTGGGGGCACAGAGACTGAAGAGAGGGCAAGGAGCCCGAGCAAGGTGCGCCCTGCTGCGGCCCCCCACCCCCCGGACGGTGATGGAGAGGCCCTGGCCCCGCGGACGCCGACCAGCACACTACGGCGTCCGCGGCGGGCGCTCCGCTGCTCCCGCCCGGCGGGCTCGGCTCGCGGGCCCTCTCCCTGTGATCCTGACACAGACGGACAGACGTAGAGATGAGCTGTGGTGGGGCTCCCGGGCCTCTGGACTCACCTGTCCGGTGGCCTGGCCCGAGCCGTCTGAGCACACAAACTGCACAAACTCCTTCAGCGAGTCCTGCCCGTGGTGGTGGTGGTAGCGGATGGTCGGGTGCGTGAAGTACGGGCTCGACTGCTGGATGATGGATGTGGAGGGGAAGTGCAACGCTGACGCTGTGGCCCGAGGGCTCCCTGCATGCACGTGGGCGGGAAGAAAAGGGCATCAGGGCGGAGAAGAGGAGGGCGATGGCTGGGCAGGGCGCCGAGGAAGAGGGACCAGGGCGAGGAGAGTGAGGGTCTGGCCTCTGGCGTGGAAGTTGAGACAGCGCACACAGAAACACCCCTCAGCAATCAAGGTAAATAACACTTTAATGCAATATTAAAAAAAAAAAAATCCAATTGGCAAACGTAGGCTTGCACACCCACCAGCTGCTTGTCTTTACAAATAAAGTTTGATGGGGACCAGGGCCAGGGGTAAGGGGAGGCAAATGAGGCAGGACCATGCAAGGATAGCATCAGATCCATCCTTTCTTTAAAATGTTTTTATTTGCTCTTTGTTTTCGTGATCGTTTTATTTATTATTTATTTTTTTTTTTAAAGAATATTGCATTAGCTCTAGCTGGTTTGGCTCAGTGGATCGAGATTTGGCCCGCGGACTAAAGGGTCCAGGGTTCGATTCCAATCAAGGCATGTGCTGGGGCTTCAGGCTCGATCCCCAGTGTGGGGCATGCAGGAGGCAGCTGATCACTGACTCTCTCTCCTCATTGATATGCCTCTCTCTCTCCCTCCACCTTCCTCTCTGAAATCAATAAAAATAGATTTAAAAAAGAACACATCGCATTAAAACATCGTTTATCCTGACGATCAGAGGTTGGGTGCCCCCTCACAGTGTGCACCAGGGCGAGGTCCTGGGCTAGGACAGGAGCCTGGATGAGGAGGAGGAGACAGACACGACCCCGGCTCCCTGCAGGACACAACGTGCACAGCCCTCTCCTGGGTGTGAGCAGGTGTGCGCCTGGCCGCGGCCGCCTCGGCCACGTCCTGGTGTGCTCAGCCCCATCACGCTTGCACATGCGTCCTCGCACACCCACAACTTCCACCCCGGCCCAGGCCCCAGCTCTCCCCAGCCGGCCCTCTCCCTCCCGCCTGTTTCCAATCAGCCCGCTCTCGCTCTTGGTTTCATTAGGGGCTGAGGAAACTTGGCTTCTCTCTGGAGTTCATAAAAGCTGAGCGGAGCTGGGCTCCCTGCCCCCACCGAGGCCGCCACGCCCTGCCCCGGTGCAGGCTGCCTCTGGGCTCCGGGCCAGGAGGCCCCGCCGAGGAAGCCGGGAGGGTAAACCTCGCCGTTCCTTCTCTGTGTCCTAGAGAAGGGCCCGGGAGAGGGTGGGCGGACGCGGGGCTGTGTCCAGAAAAAGTTCAAGCCTCTTTCTGCCAGATGGGTGCCGAGGTGGGGGTAGGAACAAGAGCGGGAAGAAGCAGATGAGGGGGTGGGGAGGGCTCGGCTCCCACAGCTTCCTGCCTGATTCCATCCCCTGGGGAACAGGGAGGTGTTCTCCCTGCCAAACACCTTCTCCTGAGAACAGCCCCGGCGCCACGAGTGATCCCTGGGCTCCCGAGTGCCCTTTCGATCTGCGGCCCGGGCCCACCCGGGTCCGTGCGGGGAGACCGGACCTCCGGCCAGGAGCCGGGAGAGCAGCGGAGAGGAGGGCAGAGGGAGAAGCTGAGCTTTCCCAGCCACAGCTGGCGAGAGGAGAGAAGACCCAGGCAGGCCTGAGGGCAACGCAGGCCAGTGTACACATCCACGCACACCCCCCCCCCCCAAGCACACGGGACGCACCCATGTGCACACGTGCACTCCGTGCATGCATACACACAAGCACAGGGCACACACACAAGCGTGTCCACACGTGCACACGGGGAGGGAGAAGCAATAGGAGAGTGCTTGGGAACAAGGGGAGGAGGCCACTGACCGGCTGGCTCTCCTGTCCGTGCTGCTGTGGAAGGAGGGCCCGTTCCCTCGCCCGCCCCGTCAGACCACAGCCCCTTAGAGAGCGTGGGGCCCTCGCTCGGACGGACCTGGCCCCTCCTCCTGGCCGGCTGCCCCGCCGTGCTCCGCCACCTCCCCGACAGCACCCCTCTGGGCCCTCGTGTCTCACCTGGTCTGACTCCAGCAAGCACAGGCAGCGGGTGGTGAGTGAAAGCCATGCGCGGGGAGCTGCCCTGAGAGGAGAGGGCACTGCAGAAGTCCAGCTTTCCTGACTTCTTTAGAGAAGCCGGGCCTGGGGGGAGGAATCAGCAACACAGGGCAGGTTTAGCTGGGCCAGGGCGGGAGCGGGGGAAGGCGGGAAGCCAGCAGCTCACTCCTCTCCTCAGCCCCCTCCTGGCTGCCCCTTCCCCCACCGTGCCCCCTCCTGCCACCTCTGCCCCAGCCGGCTGTTTCTCGGGCCCTGTGCACAGACCGGCCGGCACCGGGCGCTCCTGACAGGAGAGGACAATGAGGAGGCACTGGGGTGTGCTGGGCAGGGCGTCCATCTTGCCTCCTGACAAGCAGATGATGAGCTCAGGGGGCACCGATGAGAGGGTGGGATACAGGATCGGGGCGCCAGGAAGTCCCTGGGGCCAGAGCTGGCCAGGCAAGGACTGCCTCGGCCAGGGAACCTGAGGTTGGACTGCCTTTGGACGGGGCATTCGTTTTGCTGCCAGTGCCAGCGAGGGGGTGGCATTCAGCAGGAGGCAGGGCACAGAGGACGCCCCTCTAGGTGCTGCCAGCCAAGGTCACCTCGGTGCCCAGTGGGCACCACATCCAAATAACACTGTGACAAAGCATGGCCGGCCCCGGGGCCAGGTCCTCTGTGGGAGCTTGATTCTTCTCTGGGCTGGGCCTCAGCAGTGGTGCCCAGGCTGGGAGGGAGGGAGGGAGGGAGGGAGGAGGGGTAAGGTGGGGCTGGAGCAGATCTCCAGAGCTGCCATCTTTGATGCACAAATCAAGTCAGCTTGGGGTGGGGGGGAGAGTAGGGGGCTGCAGAACAGAGAAATAAGAGCCACTTTAACCGCAGAGGGAGGAGGCGGGGGAGGGCGAGCTCCCAGCCGCCAGAAGAGGTGTTATCTGGCAGCAGCTGTGTGCCACCTGATCGCTGGCACGGCGAGGGGGGGGAGCACCCCACCAGCTGTGCACAGCTGTCCCCTAGGCCACACAGTGCCTCCCCAGCTGTTCCCTGTCCCGCAGCTGGGCTGCTTAATTGGCGATTTGTCTCAGCACGGGGAGATAGCACCGGAAGCCAGGAGGAAAAGAGGGAGAGCGAGGAGGCGGGGTGCCGCAGCGGGACTGCGGGGAGGAGCGGAGATTCGGGCTCCACAGCAGACAGCCAAGAGAGGAGAGAGCGGGAGCTGGGGAGGAGGGCTCCTTGGGGACCGGGTCTAGGCCGAGGGAGGGCCTGGGGCTGCCGGCCACGGTGGACGTGCCCTTAAGGCACCGGGCGCCTCGTGGGAGCAGCCGCTGAAGGGAGGCCCGGCTGGGGCTTCTTCAGGGCCTTCTCTCTGCACCTCCCGAGGTCCCCAGGGAAGCATCGGGGCTGTGCTGGCCCCCAGCCCCCGCCTGCCTCCAGGAAGCCCGGGAAGAGCACCCAGAGTCATGGGGAGCGAGTCCGTAGGCAGAGGCGGGCTCCATGGCGGCCCAGAGCCTGCTCCCTCCGCCCAGGCCCGGCCGAGCCCTCCTCCCCGCCTCCAGAGGAGCCACGAGCAGAAGCGGATTCTGTGTCTGGGGCAGCGCCTTCCTGACCTTTGGCCTTCTCCCTCATCCCAGCCCGTTCCCATGGCCCTTCCCAGCAGGGCCACATCTGGAGAGCCACGTCCCCACCCCAGGCCGAGGAGAGCAGAGGCGCCCTGTGCACACGCGCACACACACACACACGCACGGGCGGGCGGTACTCCCCGGCCCGGCACACACAGCTGCCACCCGTGTGCCCGGCAGTATCCCACAGCCAGCTTCGTCTCCGCGGCTCTCCGGGTCCGCCCAGGCCGCCCAGCAGGGCCCGGCATGCCCGTGGGCGGGGTCCCTGGGAAGTAGGTGGCTGGAGGGGGCTGGGAGGCCTGAAGACAGTCCTGCTCGCTCTTGACTTAGACGCTGCCCCTTTCTGCGAAGCTGGGCCCTTTAGCCCAGCCGTTCTCAGCTCGGTCAGCTGGGGAAGGGTCTGTCCTCCCCCGACCTGAGGGGACATTCAGCGATGTTTGGAGATGGTTTTGGCCATCACACCACGGGGGCGTGTGTGTGTGTGGGGGGATGCTACTGGCGTCTAGAGCGGGGAGGCAGGGCTGCTGCTCAACAGCCTTCGGTGCACAGGATGCCGCAGCCCAGAGAAGGCCCAGCCCCAGGGTCCGCAGGGCCCCGTCTGAGAAACCGCTCCAACCCTCTGCACGCCACAGACGGTTCCTTTTGGACGCAGGGCAGTTAGCTGGTTATACCACCAAGACTCTGGAGCTGGGACAGCCTTTCTCCAGAAATACCCAGAGAAGGAGCCTGAGAGGCTTTGGAGGGGAAGCCCCAGCCCCACTGCAGGGCATCAGAGGCCTCCGTGCCCCCTGCCATGCCCGTGGCCCTGCCACCCACGCTGGCAGCCACGCTCCTCGCCTCCGCCCCGTCCTCCGGCCGCACCGGCCGCACCGCCTTCCTCCGGGAGACCGGGAGGCCAGGCGCCGGGGAGTGCCCCTGACCGCGGGGGGACCGGTGGGAGAGTCACCGGGGAACGGAGGGAGGAGACGAGGCTCGGGGCTGCCCTCGCTCCGGGCCAGGCCTCGCGGCGCCCGTACCTGCATCCACATCGTTGGGCCACCCGCTGGACTGGCTGCTGCCAGCCGCCGGGGAGCGGCCTGTCCCGGGATAGAAGACGTCGTCGACAGGGCTCTCCATCTCACTGTCATCAATGGACTTGGGGCGCTTGGTGGTGCTGGGGAAGGAGGAGAGGGGTCAGGTGGGCCGGGGGCGGCCCGGGTACCGGGACTCAGGCTGAGGGAGCGGGTGCTCGCTGTGGTCCAGCCCCGTCGCTGGGCGCTCATTCGTGTCCACCCCCGGAACAGCCCTGGGGGAGCCCCTGGGGCCCAGCCTGCCTGCTGCTCCTCCTCGGTCTCCTTCTCAGTTCCCGCCTGAAACCATCATCCATCAGCTGCTCACGTCAGAGGTGGGCAACACCCTCAAACGCTTCCTTGGCCCCGTCAGCCCCCAGGGAGATGACGGAGGCTCTCCCCAGGGGAAAATACGCCAAGGGGGCCCACAAAAGCCCCTGAAAATGTTCTCGTGTTTGGATGCAATATTTAAACAGATCAAAATGCACACCCCAAACCTCACATGAACCAAAACATCCAATTATTATTATTATTATTATTTTAAGGGACAGGATCCTACCCTGCCCTGCACGACTGGCCCTGACCAGGGCCTACTGTGTCCTCACCCATCTCTCAGCTACATTCTACCCCCTCCTGCTACTGCTCCCCTCCAGGACGCGGGCCCTCCTCCAGCCTGGCCGTCGGTCCTGCTGGAGGTGCTTTCCTGAGCACACATCGCCGACATCTTCTGCTTAAAACATGCCAGGGGGCTGAAACCGGTTTGGCTCAGTGGATAGAACATTGGCCTGTGGACTCAAGGGTCCCAGGTTCGATTCCGGTCAAGGGCCTGTGCCTTGGTTACGGGCACATGCCTAGTGCAGGATGTGCAAGAGGCAGCTGACCGATGGTTCACTCTCATCGATGTTTCTGACTCTCTATCCCTCTCTCTTCCTCTCGGTAAAAACTCAATAAAATATTAAAACATAACAAACAAACAAAACAAAAACAAAAAAACAACGCCAGTGGGTTTTTAGTCTAAATACCGTCCTCTGGCCTCCGAAGCCCTCCAGAGCGCGTCCCACCAGCCTGTCCCACGTCGGCCGGGACGGAAGCTGCTCTCTCTCTCTGGAGTGTCCGCCCCGCACCCTTACTAGCCCCTGCAGGTCTGGGCTCAAATGTCACATTCCCGAGAGAGAGAGACCTCGGTCCCCACTGGGAGCGCCTTCCAGGCAGAGCCAGGCCGTGTTGAGGTGTGTGTTCCCAGGGCCGAGCGCCCACAACAGTACAAAGCAGGACGTCCAGGGGAGAGGGCCAGTGCCCTCAGCGAGGGGTGACGCTCTGAGATGGCCCGGTGGCGGGGGGAAAGGGGAGGGAAGGACAGAGGTGCTGGGCTTACTTACCTGGTGGAGGGAGGGGAGGTGATGGACCTCCGCCCCAGGGTCACCTGGTTGATGTTGTAGTAATTGGGACTCTCCAGGTCCGCCAGCGAGAAGTTGGGGCCGGATGCTGTGGCGACAGGAGCTGGGAAGAGGCGAGGGGATGGCGGATGAGTGTGTGGGTGCCGGAGGCCGAGGGAGCCTGTCCCCCAGGAGCCCCGGGGCAGGCTCACTGGGAAGCTGCCGAGGAGACCCCTCCCAGCTGAGCTCGCTGGAGGAGAGCCTGGCTGCCTGTTTCCTCCAAAGCGGAGGCCAGGCATGGGGCTCTCGGGGCACCGCTGCTGCCCTCAGCCTGGTGCCCAGGAGGCAGGCAATGTCCCAGGAAACCCTGTCTGCCCCTGACCCCAGCAAGACCCCCTCCACCTGCAGGGCCCACGCCTCACCTCCCTCTCCCCGCCCCCTGCTGACTGGGCCAGGAAGGAAGGACTCAACTTACTCTGTGAAACTCTGACCAGCTCTGTCACGTTCCAGACCCCGGAAGTCACAAAACAGTCCTGGAAGCTTAAGTGCCCTGAGGAGGGAACAGAGCGGTGAGTGAGTGGAGGGGAGGCCAGGAGGGGATGTCTCCCCACCCCCCAATGCTCCCTCCCGAGCCCAGGATGGCCCTTGGGGTTCTCAGGTCTCTAGGGAAGAGGGGGTGCACTCCAGGTGTGTCCCCTCCCCTTCAGCTGGCAGCCAGAATTCCGCTGAGGGACTGCTGCGGGAAGGGGAGGAGCTGGTGGGAGACACAGGCGGGCCCAGGGGCCGGGCCATCGGGGAGGCGTGGGCAGCAGGGCAGGGGGGCGAGGGCACTGACCGTTGGGCAGTGGTTTGATGTCCGCATCTCCTTGCTGGTTTGAACTATCTGATTGTCCGGATTCTGCGGGAGACACAAAGGGGAAGATGGGTCAAGACCAGACGGCTCCCTCTCCAGCCCCGTGTCCAGGGACACCCCACCGCCGTGGGGGCTCCTGGGCACTGCAGGGTGTTCGGCAGCACCCTCGGCCTCCACCCGCTAGGTGCCAGTAGCACCCCAGTGGTGACAACCAAAACCGTCTCCGGGGACAAAGGCGCCCGTGGGCGTGGGCGAGCGGCACCGGCCGGCAGTCAGGGCCGGAGGGCTCCTCGGCCGGAAGCCAGCGGCCGCTCTGCACAGCTGGAATGCACCCAAGGGCTCCCCCGCCTCCACCCGGCTCAAGTGCCCGGAGGAGCAGCCCCTGCCCCCGGACTTCACTCATTACAGCCGCTCCTGCCTGCTGGGGCCTCCCCCGCCTCACCTTTCTGCTCACAGGCAGTGCCTGGCAACGCGGAGGGGGGCGCCGGCCCTGGCGCTGCCGCCCGCGCCGTGCCAGCCTGTCTGGGCTGTCTCATGCCCCAGTGCCACAGCTGCTCGGAGGGAGCCCCGAAACAAGGGCCCATTGTGCAGCGGAGCGGCGGGCGGGGGCAGGGCGCAGAGTGTGTGTGAATATTTTGCCGGGCTTGGGAAAGCCCCCCGCCCCGCCCTCCGGGCCCTCAGAGCTGTGTGTGCCAGGGGCACCACGGGGACCTCCCGAATGCCTGCCTGGGCACGACAGCTGGTGAGAGGGTGGCGGAGGGGGGCCGGGGCAGGCTGTGGGGCAGGAGGAAGGCAGGCACTGGGTAAAAGAATCAGCTGTTTCCTGGGGGACCCCACGGGGTGGCGCTGGGCAAACGGGGGACAGGTGTTGTCCGGGGCTTTGCCCCGCTCTCTGGAACAATCCTGCCTCTTGGTCTCACCCGCAGGCCGGGAACCTGGCTGCTGAGCCGCTCACCCTGCGGAGCGGCCAGGGAGGAGGTGCCTGAGGGCGACGTGGGCCCCTCCGAGGCTCCGAGGCCCGCGGGAGCGGCCGGGCTGCCTCAGGACGGTCTCGGGCCCACGTCCCCCGTCCTTTTCCTTATTAGACTGAAAACACGGTTTCGATGGGTTGATTTTAGAGAGCGACAGGAAGGGGGAGAGAGAAGGAGAAACATCTATTTGTCCCACTTGCACTCATTGGTTGACTTCTGTACGTGTCCTGACCAGAGATGGAACCCGCACAACCTTGGCCTAGCGGGACGCCGCCCACTGGGCTACCCGGCCATTGTTCGATTTTCTCTTTAATGACAAAAAGTAATAGCGGCCCTAGCCAGCAGCTGCCTCAGGCCACCCTTTCCCCGGCTCCTGACGCAGGAGGGGCGGAGCCTCAGGCCAGGCTCCAGCCCCCGCTGCCCAGGGGTCCCTGCCACCAGCCCCTGCAGGCCCGATGCCCACCCCACGGACTGGCCCGGGTCCCCCCCACGCGGAGGCGCTGGCAAGCCCCGGGACGGAGGAGACCAGAGCGGCCGGACAAAGAGACGGAGGTGGAGCAGCGACGGACGGAGGCAGACGCCTGGCCGCCGGCAGCGAGACAGACAGGAAATCCCTCCTCCCGGGGCTGCGGCCGGACGGAGCCGCTGTTATTCCTATCAGCGCCGCGGAGAGCGGGCGGCGGGAGAGCGCCTCGGGCAGCGCTGCCCGCTGCTGGCAGCCATGTTCTCCTTGGCAGCCATCTTACGGCTGGCGCCCGCGGCCACCGCCGGCCTGGCGCTCGGCTCCGTCCCGGACAAAGGCAGACCCTGGAGGTCTGGGCCCGGGCTCCGAGGCACCGAAGCCAGCCCTGCGGCCAGGGCCCCACTGTCCTGCTCGAGCTTCTCCCTCCCTCCCAGGCCGAGGAGTGGACAGGGAGGGACAGGGAGGGACAGGGAGGGACAGGGAGGGACAGGGAGGGACAGGGAGGGACAGAGAGGGACAGGGAGGGACAGGGAGGGGACAGGGAGGGACAAGGAGGGACAGGGAGGGGACAGAGAGGGACAGAGAGGGACAGGGAGGGACAGGGAGGGACAGGGAGGGGACAGAGAGGGACAGGAAGGGACAGGGAGGGACAGAGAGGGACAGGGAGGAACAGGGAGGGGACAGAGAGGGACAGGGAGGGACAGGGAGGGACAGGGAGGGACAGGGAGGGACAGGGAGGGGACAGAGAGGGACAGGGAGGGGACGGGGGCTGAGGCCTGGGCCTGGGGATGCTCCGCCCGCTCCAGGCAGCTGGCCCCAGGCAGCCCCCAGGCCCAAGGGCTCCTCTGGTTCAGCCCGAGTGGACCCCGGCCCCAAGGGACAGTGTGCGATGTGATGGCTGCAGGCCCGTGCCCGCCTCGACAGCTGGGGAGTGGGCCTGGGGCGGGCCCGGAGGGGCTGGCGGGGACCCAGCAGACAGGCTGTGGGCCCTGGTGCACAGGCGCCCGGGGAGGGGGGCCAGCCTTCTCCCCCCAGGGGTGCTGGGGAGCCGCGCCCTGAAGTCAGGGTCTGGTCCAGACAGCCCTCGGAGCACACAGCACCCCAGCACCCCGGCCCCCTTCCCTCGGGCTCCCTCCCGGGGGAGGGGGTAACCCCAGGCCTGGGGACAGGCAGGAGGAAGGCTGCCGGGCTTTTATCTGGCAGAATGGGGCTTATCAGAACCACCAGCTGAACAAACACACAAATCCACGGTTAGTGAGGGAAAACCCTCTGCCTGAACCCTTTATCTCCTGTTCGCAGGCCCCACGCGCTGCCCCCTGCCAGCAGCGCCCGAGGAGACCTGACTGCTGCCCGGCGGGCCCCCCTCGCCCCGACCCAGCGCGGGGTGGCTCTCCTCGGAGGCTCTGCCAGGCGGGCGTGAGCGAGCTCCCGCACCCGGGAGCCCCCTCCAGTGTCTGCTTTCTCACGGGGGACAATGGGCCAGCTGGTGGCCTGCGGACCCATGGAGGGGCAGGATGGCATTGGCTGGCACAGGGCGGGCAGGTGCCCAGCTCCATCTTTTATTCCCTCCCGCCCAGCCCACATCCCGGAGACTGCTGCTCTGAGCCCTCAGCCGTTCGGGGTCACGTTTCCTGGCAGTCTTTCCAGCCTCCGCCTCCGCCCTGGCCCGGTCACCAGAGCGATGGGAACCCTAGGCACATACCCCCAGTGCGGGGGGGGGGGGGGGGGGGCCCCGACTGAGGCCGGCACAGAAACCCCGCCTGAACCTTTCTTCAGAGGCCACAGCTGCTGTAGATTCCCGGGGAGACGGGAGACAGGACAGGGGGGCCGTTGGCACGGTTACCTCGCTCAGCCCCGGGCACCTCACCACTGTCCGCCTTCCTGTGCTGAGGACCTCCCATGGTGCCCAGCTCATGAGGCCTCCTCCTCAGCTGCTATCTGAGGATGGCGGCCCCGGGGCCAGGTTTGGGGAAGGAGAGAATCTTGTTGCGAACATTGCCAGGGGGTCAGACCGGCCTGTGTCGCACACAGGAGCAGGCTCTGCTGACATCCTCTGCACGCCCTCCTCGTGGTGCCTGGGGACCCGGCCGCCCAGGAGGCTCCCGCAAGGGAGGAGGGTGCAGGAGAAGGTGACAAGCCTGGGCTGCCACGGCCGTGGGCGCAGTGGGCTCCCCAGAGCAAAGCTCTAATTGGAGAGACTGCTCCCCATTCACCTGCACACACGTCCTCGGTCAGCCTGTGTCGCTGGCCTGTGGACTGGCAGGTGGCCTGGTGCAGCCCCCAGACATGGTTGGTAGTGGGGGCCCCTGTCTTCCTCGGGCCCCTCCGTATCCCCTGGAACGGTGGCAATGCCCCCCCCCGCCCACTGTCTTTCCTGCCCTCTGGCCCCCACTCCACCCTCTCAGCCCCTGAAGCTCCTGCTTCCTTCGCTCAGCTCTTACCCTTTCTCTCTGAATCGGTTCTGTCTCTGCTCGGCACCCCATTGCCGTCCTTCCTTCTCCTTCCCTTCCCCTCTGTCCAGCCCCGCTTCCTCTCCCGATCCTGCCTGTGTGCACACGTGTGTGCGTGTGCATACGTGTGCATGTTTCCGGGCGTTCCGGAGGGGGAGGCTCCCGCTGCCGGGAAGAGCCCGGGGCTGCACACGAACCCCGGCCGACAGTGTTTTTATATATATTTTCCAGTCGCAGGCAGGGAGATATTTATGGCTCCCGCTAGGTGCGGGAGGAATTCCTGCATGCTGCAGCGAGGGGCGCGCTGCCCCCAGCTCTCACCCGAGACAAACTCCCTGACAAAAGGCGCGTGTGACTCGCTGGCCGCCTCCCCCACGCATGTCACGACGCCGGGATGAGAGGGGCACACGGACCCGGCTCACCCACACCCACACGTGTGTCCCTGAGCACGTGCAAACACGCAGGCCAGCACAAGGTGGGGATGCCTCCAGCCACATCCTGCCGTCCCGCAGTGGGGGGGTGCGCCGTGCACCCCGAGCTGTGATCCCACGGTGGCAGCATGCCCTGTGCTAAGCTCCGGGCCAGCTAGGAAACCCCTCCAGCTTTGCCCTGAAGGCTGGCTTTTTGGGGGCCAGGGAGGACACCCCTCAGAGCCCGCATGTCCTTCCCCTGGTTCTCCCCCCAGGCCTGCGGTCAGGACGCAGGTGGGGCGTGCTCTGTTCCGGGGTGGCTGTCCTCTGAAGGGCCCTTTCCGGCGGGGCACGGCCCCTCCCCCTCGCCTCTGTGACTCCGGAGCGTCCAGAGCGCTGGAAACCCAATCTCGAGGGGAGCCAGAGGCCGGCCCGCAGCAATCAGAGCCGGAGAATATAACTATTGTGCCTCTTGAAACCCAAGTCCCAGAATCTGAGACACCCTGAGGAGGGGAGCGGGGCGGATGGGGGGCTAGGAGGACGGGTCACCGAGGGGTTCTCCCCATCTCAGCACACAGGAGACTGCGGACCAGGAAGTCCTTGAGAACGAAGGGCAGCCAGAGGGCAGGGTGGGGGGGGCCCAGCCTGGGCCAGGTCCAGGGGGCTTCTAGGATCTTCTCCTTCTTCCTGCCGCTCCTCGCTCTACCTCCACACACCAGCTTGCGTGGCACAGGCCCTGGAGCCACCGAGA